TTAATCTTTCCACTTGAATTGATATCTTGTAGTCTCCTGATGTCTTTCAGTGCTCTTTACTGAACTCATTTCTAATTTGTCATATAGGAAACAATTTCAGCGTTCTTCCTCTGCTCTTAACAAGCAGTGGGATTCACCATGCACAACTGCAGGTTTGTGTGTCGCTTTAAAACAAGCCTTTGTACATTTACTCTCTGCTCTCAATGAAAGTCACTGAAGAATTTTCCCTTTGCATTTTTATGAGTTATACCAAATTATCTCAGCTCACATCTCTATAATTTGTTAGTAGTAACTGACTGTTAGTACACGAGAAAATTTACCTTGTCTACATTCATGCCTCAGTCATGCATGTAGTTCATTTCCAGTTTGTCCCCCAAATGAATAAGGGGTTTCAAGTATTGGATTCTCTCCATGTAGCATTTTCCATGTTTTCCTAAGCCTTGTTGTTGAATTGGCCAGAGCCAAGGATAGACTAATAAGCTGCCTAAACTAATTGCAGAAATACCTTACATACATACATACATACATTTACAATAAGGTATACATGGATACCACTGCTTAAAAGAACATGTACCCTTTAAAATATTAATGTCATACACAGCTTTTTGTGTGACAGAGGTTGTGGCATAGAAGGGCCTCTTTGTGCTGTCATTTTCCTGGTGGAAGAAATTATAAGGTATCCAATTATGAGGTATCCTTGTCCAATGCACACCTCTGAAACTTCCTGGAAGCTCCAGAGTTCCACTGGCTTGCATTCTGCTGCAAATCCAGCCATATGTCGCAGTAATTGGGTGTTGACACACTTTCTTTGGTCGTGCAGATCCTTCTTCAGTTCTGTTCATTAGTTTTTTATGCAGAAACAGGGAGTAATGCAATAAAGTCAGTCAGCTAGTGGAATTCCATTCCCATGACCTGATGCTTTATTTCACAGTCTGTTGTGTTCAAATATATCTATTTGAAGGAGATGGTCATGATTCTGCTGGTATATTGCCTCTCCTCTCCTCTCTGAATTATTTTGAATGTGTTCAAGTCTTCTCAACTTGTTGAGGTAGGAGCTTTCAACATAAGCATAGTTCTGTACAAAGTGATATCTAATTCCACTCAAACTGCCTCATTGACTGCAAGAGCTTTGGTTTATTGCATGAATGTTCATGTATGTATATGTGTATGTACATTGTTTTGCCAATATATTGTAGGAATGGCAGAACCCTAAATGATTTTTGTGCAGAACTCTGCAACTTAACTTACCATAAAGGCCACCGGAATTACCATGCATCGTGGCGATTCTAATGATGGACATCGGGAGGCATGGGAAACCTATCGCCGCACACCCTGCATTGCCCGACTCAACCAGATGATCATCCAATGGGAGAAAGTGTCTACTGTCTGATTTCCACCCATTGTCCCTAGCGGACTACAGGAAACTGGGTTGTTGTAGGTTTTTCGGGCTGTATGGCCATGTTCTATAAGCATTCTCTCTTGATGTTTCACCTTTATCTGTGGAAGGCATCCTCAGAGGTTGTGAGGTCTCCGACAATACATTAGATCACAGGAAGTTTGTGTTGCCACTGTAGCAGCTTGTTCCTCTTTCCTTCCCCTTTAAGCATGCCATAAGTAGTTCTGCAGCATGTAATAGGAGCCAGTGGACTATGTGCTTAAAGGGGTGGCAAAGTGGAGCATGTCGCTGATTCTTCTCCCACCTGATGAAGCCCATAGAGTGCTCCATGTGGATAATTACCTAATACCAGAAATAACCCACAGAATTGGCAGTGATCAAAATGTTATTTATTTTAACCTTTGTTCCCAAAGAAAGGACATAGACTCCTCAGGTTCTTGCACAGTACTGTATACAACGTATTGTGCCATAGATACCTTGTGAAGAACTGAAGAATTAGTGTTCCCCATTCTCAGCATTTGGGAAATTTATATTATGTCACTAAGGGAATACCATGGCTCTTGTGCCAAGTGGTGAGGGGTAAGCTCCCCAACATAGTAATTTGTGAGTAAACAGAGTTGAACAGGGGCCTTCTATATGACATCTCTGAATGCTAAACATATTGAGTTATGGATGTTTATTTTGGGATGGGGATACAAAACAACTAAAAAAATCAGAATACAGAATTTGTCTCTTGGCAGATATTTTCTAATTGGTGTTATTACTCTGTGTCTGTTTTAGCTCAACTGCCAACTTGTAACACAGAACTAATAGGAGGATAGCACTGCCAAGTTGTTGTAAATTACTCAACCCTGACCTACAGAACTATGAACTACACTGCAGAAATATTAATCAGTCTCCAGTTCCTGCACCATCCAATCTGAAATATGGAAGCAATCAACCATATTATTCTGAAATTTACATTAGCAGGTGTGTGTGTGCGTGCGTGTGCGTGTGTGTGTATGTTAGAAAAGCAACTCTTCTCTTTATTATGATGTTTAGGTCACTGAGGGTGGATACACTGAGAATCAGTCAATGTTACCTCAAAAAGGTTGATTTCTCTATTGCTTTGTGTGAAAGCTCTCACTCCAAACCCTGATTATATTTTTTAAAAGTGGTGCATCACTTTTGTCTGGCCTCTCCAGACAAAAATAAGGTTTCTCTTCTCTTCCTATGTATATATGTATTTCTTCCTGTGTTGCCCTTTTCCAGCTATAATAAAGAGAGGAATTTCATGCCCAGTCAGATGTAATTAGAATCATCAACACTATCGTCATCATTAGCCTTGTTGATAAGTAAACAGTTCTGGTTGCTTCATTTAACAAATCTTATTTACTAATCTTGTTGCAAGAAAACACTATCTATGGGGACATTTTCATGTGGATATACAGTGTCAGCCAATGTGCTAAAGAACAGAAGAGTAGTACAGAAGAACATCTTGCAGATAATCTAACCTTAAATGAATTAGTTAATTTACACAAAATAATTCCCTTTCTTGCACTTTTCCAACTCACCCTGAGTTAATTAAGGTTAGAATTAAATAGAAAAGTCAGCAAATATCTCCAAGGGCATCAATACCAAAGAAGAGAAGTAAGTACTGAGAGAGAGAGAAAGTGGGGGGAATATATTACCAGGAGAAAAGGTTAAAAGAATGCCGAAAGTTTATAAAGTCTTAAGTCAGGAAAAGTTTAGCCATGAGAATTGCAATTTAAAGCAAGGTTAAGGGACAAGCCCAATAAATTCAGCCTTGGAGCATAATCTGATGGAACAGCAGTGCTTGGAATGGGCAAGGAGCACTAGTGCCTTAGTGAAACAAACTGACAGTAAGTGACATAAGTATTACTTAAAGCTATATGAGATGGATTTCATCCCAAATTATTTGGTGTGCAACCCACATGTATGTAGCAATAATAGTCCCCTGTTACTGGTGTATGTGCATCCCATAGTAACCCAATGTGGCCCCTTATAGCTGAAAAATGGAACAGAAAATTTGAACAAGCTTTGAAGGGGCAATGAATGTGCAAAATTTAGGAAAGAAAAACTTTTTTCATTTAGTGTTCCTGCAGGCATGATTCCATCCTCAAGGACTTCCAAGTGTCACCAAAAGAATGGAGCCAGCATAATGATGAGAATTAGATTAGAAGTGGATCAATAGGCCTGACAATAAATGAAAGCTACACAGACATTATTGAGCAGATTAGGAGAGATAAATTAAAGTGGACAGTATATTCAGCAATGCCAGGGCAACATAAATGTTGGACCAGGAGACTTTAGAAGGATAACAGCATATCAGGAAATGTAAGGGAAAAGAAGTAAATTGCAATAAAGCATTGGTATGATAGTATGGGAAGAGAAAACTCAACAAACTGTGATGCATTTGACAGGCATTTTAAATGTGGCAGATGTACAAATTATTAGTGTTATTTGCACCAATACTTGCTTATAACGCGTTTACTTCTCCATCAATTGGCAAAGAGTAAGCACAAGCGGACTTTAGGGGTTAGCATTCCTAGACAGGTTATTATCAGTTTTACCTATTTGTAGATATATATTTATAAATAAACAAAAAATGTTTTAAAATAGCAGCAACATCGAACAGATGCGGTTCTGGCTACTATGAAAGCAATGGCAAAATTATGAATGATATCTGCAAATGTGAATACATTTTAATGCATTATATGGCCAGGGTAGACCCATAAAATACAGTTCGGTGCAGTTCAAACTGCATTATAGGGATCTACACTGACCATATAATGTAGATTCTAACTGGATTATATTGCAGGGTAGATCCAGCCAAAGTTAAGCTCAAAAAGTGCCAAAATATCCCATTTCATACCGATTCAGATTAATGCCACTATGTTCATTAGTAGTAAAAAATGGAGTCTTATAGACTCTACCAGATCTTTATGGCAGTGTATTCCATATTGTTTCATATATACAAAAAATGTGCCATTTTGGCAACATTAGGTACATATTGCATCTCTTCATGTTATGCCTTCTTTATTTATACTCATGCGTCCTTGTCATTCATACTGTATTGTTGCAAGAATGGTTCGTGCTCATGCCATTCATTTGCATAATGATCACTGTTGTTTTGATTATAAGATTGGTTATTTGGGGTAACTAGAAAATCTTAGATTACTCAGAGCCTGTTCTAGTCAATTTTAACTCTCTTCAGTCTCATTTACCTCTCTATTTTAAGGCATCTAAAGTCCAGGGAGTATTTTAAAAGATTCTTAGTTTGGGATAGCTGAACAGTGCCACAAAATCCTGCATATCAGTCTCACTTTCTAGATGACATAGTCCCCTTTGCTGGTGTGTTAAATGATTCCTTGGAGGTAATAAATCTAAACAGGCAGATGTGCAGTTTCACCATCAAATTAATTACTAACACTTTAAGAGCACAAACAAGAAAGCATTCAAAGGACACATTGCTTCTATCCAGAAAAATAACACTAAGTCACGTTAAATTGGAGTTAAACATCCTGTAAATGTCATACAACTTCCTTTGCATGTCTAAAGTAACCTACTAAAATTGGTTATCTTTCTGTAACTTCTTTTTCAGCAACAGCGTCAACTTGACCTCTTGACTATAACCAACCCTGGTGAGTAAGCCACAAGGCTTGGCTCTTTTTTCTGTTTTCTTAAAGAGAATATTGTCTGAATGTGTCTCTTTTTGCTCTCCCTGACATGCAAAATGAAAAACTCTGTTTTCCAGAAAATATTTAACATAATAACAACTGACAGCTATATTGTGCTTGCTGAAGCCCCGGGCACTTATCCATTCACAGAGCTGCCTCTTCAGACCTTTACTCTGCGAGTTTGAGTGCTGATATTTCTTTGAGCCTCCTGGGGTTACTGTTAGTGGTGTGTCTGCAGGGTAGCTATGCTATAATTCTCATTGTATGTTCACATATCACAGAAACATTCAGCTTAACTCTCTGCAGTAGTAAATGTGGATATTTCATAAAGAAGCCAGCGTTGATGTTGGCAAGAGAGAACTCACAAGAAATCTTGTGCTGGTTGATGTGGAATATATCTTCCTTACTTAAAAACAAGATGTTAACATAAAGTGTTTCTGATGCTGTTCTTTCTGAAGAATATTGTAACATGGTTCTTGTTAAGTGCTACTTACTTAAAGCAGCTTCAGACAAGGCTTTTATCATGCCATCATCCTGCCACATTCACTGACTTTTAGGGTGGGTTGAAATAATGCTTTCCTCCATTCATAAATCTCCCCTGATTTTCCTTACTTTTTCTCCTTACTTCAGAAAATCTGTTAAGGAGAAAAAAATGCAATGCTGACACAAGGAGTCTTTCCTATATAAATGCTTGTACCATCTCAGAATTTACTCATATCTGTAATGGCTTTTATGTATTTATTTCTTGGTTTCCTAGTAAGAGTTAGAGAAGCAGAATTATCCTTGTTGGATCTAAGCTGGGTGACATTGTCCTATAGATATCAGGAATATACATGTTTATTTTGTCCTTGATAAGAAAGGTTTTCTTGACATATTGAGACATCTAATAGAAATACTGTCAAATGTTCCAAGATTTTGGTGCCTTCAAAAAGAGGAACAAAACAGGTTCCCTTTCCCTTCCTTCTATTCCCCTCTTGCTTTCTGTAGGTTTTGTACATTTTTTTTGAAACCAGCTGTGTGCAAAAAAATTGTTCTGCATGTTTTTGTTTGCACAATGTTTCACAATGTTTATGCAAAAACAGTTTTTATGCAAGCTATCTTTTGTCTGAAAAATAATTTAAAATATCAGTATTTTTAATAATCATGATCTTGCCCAGCAGTAATATGACTTTGTAATGCTTTTGTTTTTCTATGTAGAAACAAAATAAGCAAAGATTTCCATATTTTTGTTACTTTGTGAACATTAGCCACCTCTGATGCTGGAGTGATGTGTGTTCTGTTTTGTTGTGACTAAATAAATGTCTAGGGCTGAGATGTGAACAATAAACAATAAATTCAAAATGGATATTGTGTAATGGTACTCTAACACTATGTTAAAAATCCAAATAGCTACTTTAGGATTGCTCAAAGGCTTGGATCACATCATAAACTCCTTTTAAATGTCTCTTTAGTCTCAAAAATTCTTAGCTATATTGCATGATAATTTGTCGTTTAAGCAATAGAAATTCAAACCACCCATGGGCATGCTGATCTATTTCTGTGAATCATTTGATGGTGATGGTGTTAACTTTTGGGAAATAATCTATGTAAAGTGAATAATGCTTTGTAAGTCTCAGTACATATACTAAAGGGATGTTTCAGACAGTTGCCATTTTCTGAATGTGCAGTGCATAGACTTAAACAAAGAAGTGGTCTAACTAGACTCAGCAGTATGGCATAATTTGATATCAGACCATTTAATGAACCATTATAGAAATACTTGATTGTGTGGGACAATTTAAACAGTGGACATATCAGAGAGCATGCCTGGTTTTTTCTTTAGGTTTTTAATTTCTTAAATTCAAATGCAATGTAATCATTATTCACTTCAGGCAAGAGAGCAATGTTATGTTTATATCTCTAGAAGATATCACAGTTGGCATTATAGCACTAAAGTGAACAAAAAGAGACAGTGTGCAAAAGCAGAGCAAAATGAAACTTCATAATCTCTCCCCATCTTTCTACTGATACCTTAACTACAGCTCTTGCAAACCTGAGGTTAGACTAGGACTTGAATACAGTTCAATTCTAGAGTTCCAGCATTTTGCAGATGAAATGCGGGATATATGTTACCAAATATCAGTGCTTGGTCAAGATGGCAAAAGGTACTAATAATGAAAAACACACAACCTAAGAGAAGCTGCAACTCACATTAAATATTACTGAACCTACTAATTACTAACAGGATTCAGTCCTCCTCTTTCCTCTATTAACTGAGTGCAAACTACATTTGCACTTTGAACACAGTTTACACCAGTTGAAGTAATATGAGGAAAACTGGGGGGCCCTCCACACACCTGAATAAGATCCCATTATCTGCATTGAACTGGAATATGTGGCAGTGTGGACTCAGATAACCCAGTTCAAAGCAGACATTGTGGGATTTTCTGCCTTGATACTCTGGGTTATATGACTGTGTGGAAGGGCCCTCGGATGAGAAGAGAAAAACTGGGATAGTTTAAAAGCAGCTAAAAAAGTGTCACGATCGCAGATTAATCAGGACTCTCATGGCCAAATTGGAATAGTTACATGGTATGATACCATTTTTGCATGCAGAAGTTGCCAAGTTCAGACTCTGGTTAAACGAAATGAGAGGCGATGGTGAGCAAAGACTCTTGGTTTAGGCCTCTCACACTGTAGCTAATCAGAACTGATAGTATTGGACCAGATAAGCAAGTAGATGGAAGTGACAAAAGGCAGAATAAAGAATAAGTAGAATAATAACTTCTGCCCCAAAATTTCTTAAGGAATCCATGCAGTGTCTCAAATTAAGTTCTCATGCTACTCTAGAGACTCTTGAGTGTCCTGGGTAAGATCCAGTATGCTTTCCATTTATGTTATATTGTGAGACCTTTGAATCAGCTGTGTTCTTTGAATACTTGAGATTTATTAGCAGATAAATCTGCTTATGTGGACTTGCAAGACTTAGAACTCGTTTTGTCTGTTCTGGACCATCAATATTATGTTAACATGGATGTTTTCTCAATTCAGAGCAAAGAAGGCCAAATGCAAAATGATACATTTAAAACATGACTATCCCGATATTTGCTGGAAAACAAACTCAGCCAAGAGTACAAAGTCCAACAAATTCCTCGCTTGCCTTGCGGACAATTTCATGGTCCAGAAGGTAGAAGAGGCAACAAGGGGATTGGCTACTCTTGATCTCATCCTAACAAATGCGGAGGACCTGATCGATGCGGTTGAAGTGGTCGGATCCTTAGGGGCAAGTGACCATGTGCTCCTGCAATTTGAGATACAAAGGAAGTATCTTTGTAAGACAAGTCAAACCCGCATTTTGGACTTTACGAGAGCTGATTTCCGAAAAATGAAGGAAACACTGAGCAGCATTCCATGGACACAGATACTAAAAAACAAGGGAGTTATGGATGGATGGGAGTTTCTCAAGAGTGGGTCAGTGGCAGGATTCAAAATTAATATGTCAAAAACGAAACTACTAACAAAGAATGTAGAGAAGAAGAAACAAGAAATGATTAAGGAGCAAACAGGTCTGGAAATAGTTAAGAAACTCAAATACTTAGGAGTATGGATAATGACTAAAAATGGACAATTATTAAAGAATAACTATGAAGAAGCCTGGAAAAAAATACAAAAGGACTTACAAAAGTGGACACATTTGAAGCTATCACTTTTTGGTCGTATATCATTGGTTAAGATGAATATATTACCGAAGTTGATGTTCCTTTTTCAAAATCTTCTGATAATTAGAAGTCAATCACTTTTTATGAAATGGAAAAAAGAGATATTAAAATGTATATGGGCCGGAGGAAGACCAAGAATAAAATATGACAATTTGATTGACAAAAAAATTAGAGGTCTGGGTTTACCAGACTTTAAAGCATACTACGATGCATGTGCAATGATATGGATAAAAGATTGGATACTATTGAACAAAGAAGACTTTTTAAATATAGAAGGGAATGATTTAAGAGTAGGATGGCATGCTTATCTATGGTACGAAAAGGAAAAAAAGGAAAAAAATTGGTAACCATTTAATGAGAGCATCCTTACTGAGAGTATGGCAAAAATATAAAAGGCATCTTTATTGCAAAACACCTTTATGGGTCTCTCCTATGGAAGCATACCAGCGAAGACTTTTAGGATGGAGAAAATGGCCAACCTTTAGAGATTTGTTAAATAAGGGTACAAAAAACATTAAAACGTATGAGGAATTGAAACAAAATTTCTCCAATATCACTTGGCTGCATTATATGCAAATTAAAGACTTTTATAATCAGGACAAAAAGTTAGGCTTTAGTTGGGAGGAAGCAATGTGGAACAAGATCTTAAAATTGGAAAAGAAAGTAATATCAAATATTTATAACATATTACTTACCTGGCTGACTAAAAAATAACAGGTTAAAAACTGTATGATAAAATGGGCTCAAAATTTAAGAAGACCAATCCAAATAAAAGAGCAAATGTGGAACAAAAAATTAAAATATACTTATGCAATAGATTTAAAAGAGAACTGGATAAAAATGTTCCACAGATGGTATACCACACCTAAACAATTAGCTAAAAGGTATAAAACAGCTTCTGACAAGTGTTGTAAATGTACAGAGCAAGTTGGCTCCTTTTACCATATGTGGTGGACATGTAAAGAAGCAAAAATGTTTTGGACGAAAATCCATGAGGAAACACAAAAGATCTTAAAAAGAACTTTTATAAGAAAACTGGAGTATTATCTGTTAGGATTTACAGATCTAGATTTGCAATTGACAGAACAAGAAAATAAACTTTTTACTTATATTACGACCGCTGCTAGAATTGTTTTTGCTAGAGAATGGAAGCAAGAATCAGTTCCACCATACAGGAGTGGGTGGAGAAAATTAGAGAAATAAAGGACATCGATGAATTGATTTTTTTGTTGAAGAAAAATACAGGCAAGATAATGAGAAGAACGA